TGAAGAACAAAACGACAGCAACTTGTCTGTTCCCCTTCCCCCAATTCCCCAGCACTGTTCCCATCCCCCCAATTCCCCAATAAAAAAAATCATTAAAAAACAAACAAAAAAACACAACTCTATTCCCCATCAGTCTCTTTATTGCTTCTAGAGCAAGATAAGCTTATTTTTAACCTCCATGACCCTGCTGACATTACTCCATCTCCTTTCTGTTTATGCAAATCTTAGCCAAGCCTCAGCGTTATCTCAAGTTCAGAACCCTAGGCAAATTATCACCTGGTTTCTAAGTTTGTACACAATTCACTCTTTCCTCACTTTAAAATCCCACAGCAGCACTTTTGGACACTTAATCACATATTGACTTTTCTGACATTTTACAGTTCTACATATATTTAATTTTGCTGATAAAAATGATGATAATAAAGACATCAATCCAATACATTGGTATAGCATTTCCATGTTTTTCATGGTACCTTCATATCCATGATCTGATTTTAATCCATATAACAATCTTTAAATGATGTCTACCCCTATTTTGTAGATGAGAAAATTAAATTTAAAAAGGTTAAATGATTTGCTTAAAATCACACAGCTGAGAAATGTTTGGACTCCATACGCAGCATTTTTTCTCATTGTATTAAGGAACTTATAATTTGAGAGTACAGATCATGCTCTTTATTTTCTGGGTCTCCCTCAGTACCTGGCATACTGCTGCTTATCTGGGTTATGGATAAACCCATAAAAAACTTGGACTCATTAAATTAACAATGCAAACTGGTCGGGACAGATATAGATCTAGAGACCTTTCTGTAAAGGGTCTGATTTTCAGTAAAAATGCTACCATTCCTAAGTACTGATATTACTTAGAGACAGCCAGGTGGACAGCTTGGGGTTTGCTGCCATTGTATTATTTCACATGTCTGGCTCTGGCAAGACTTGGAGAAGAAGCAATTTTGAGGGAAAGTTTCGCCTCCATCATCCAGAGAAAGCTAAGCGGGTCCATTATTTCAATGCCATATGTCCAGCTCTGCAATTGCTGAAATCAAGGTACTTACAACAAAATACCTTTGCTCCACCCCAAAATGGTTCAGGAAAACTGTAAGTCTACATTCAAATTATATTACAGGAGATTAAGCATTTTTATGTAAAATGAATTAGACCAAGTCACTGTATTAAAAAAAATTCCACTTCTAGTACTGCTTATTAATTTAATTAATAATCTCATATGCAAGGATTGAAGGACAAAATAGGTTATCTTTACAAGTGACAAAAAATTTAATGTGGATGAAAATATAATCCTGTAAAAATCAGACTTCCCCACTTGAGTTAAGAGTGTACAGGCACAGCGCTCAGATGAGAATGTCCACCACCATCACCACTTCTGACCCACACAGCTCTCTGTATGCCAGGCACTGTTCCAGGAAAGAGCTTTGTTTACATACTACCTCCTACAGTCCTCACAGCACACACCTCATCACAAGGCAGGTAATAATATCACCCCCCTTTTAACGATGTAGAAATAGAGACACTGAGAGCTAATAGCTCATCCAAATTCATATAACTAAGAAGAGAGAGAACCAGAACTAACCACTGCTATATTATACTGTCTCTGTATAATCTACTGCTGGCTTTCTCGTTACCTGTACTCTCAGAAAATATAAAACCTCAGCGTACTGGTTTTTCACGGCTTCACTATACGATCACTAACCCCTTCCACCAACCCCCCCCCCAATTTCTTCAAATGCAATCGTAGGCTGAGCCTTAATATAAAAACGTATGAAAGCTGGGTTTCTCTAACTAATGCCTGAAGTGAAATGCTACCTAGTCCAAATCCCCCATCTAAAGATGAAGGAAAACTTGAATTCAAGAAATTATAAGAATAATAGCCACAATATTTTGAGCACTTGTAGTGTGCCAGGCACAGAACTAGTTATTTTATCTTATTTATCCTGCAACCACCTCATTAAGTCAGTCTATCCATTTTATAAATCCTTTTGGCTTAGAGAAGTTAAAGACCTCAGTCACAATCACACAGCTAGTAAGCAGTTGAACACACAGCACTTGAACCCGGGCTAGCTTATTCGAAGGCCCACTGCGGAACCACTGAGCTACACCAGACCGAATGACTCCTCTAGAATAAGGCTCCTGCCATGTTCTGACCAGACTCCTCTAATATTCTTCTTGACAAAAGCACAGCTACGCTGTAGCACGTGATGAATGGAGAAAAGCATCAGGTGCGGTGCATATCAGGCCAAACAGTCTCTATCGTAGCTATCAATACGAGATAACTGGAAATCCTTCTTCATATTTATCTTCAAAGACAGGTAGGATAAGTCAGTGATTTCTGTTCTTAGATCGTGTTTTTTATATTTGTATATGTTTAGAAGTGACTTATTTTCTGTTCTGTTGCAATTTTTGCTTCTTTTACAAGCCTGGCAATACAATAGAAAAGGGCATAAACCTGAGTGCCTATGCTCTCCACATCTAACGTTGTTTGTGCTGACTCGGCCGCTGTCTTCCCCACCACCAAAGAGCTCCCAGCCACCTGGGGCTGGCCGCTGGAGGGGACGGCACAGTCCATGAGAAACGGCCTACGCCCTCAAGCCTCTTCCACACTTACATTCAATGTGGATGTGTCTGATGTTTGGGATAGTCACAATACTTCAAAATATAATGCAGCCACCCTGTTAAGACATGAATCAGTAGGATTTTAAAAACTTGCCAGCTTTCTTACGCTGCCGTTTTGCTTCAATATGCCTCTATATTCCATACTGCAAGATGATGTTTTTATACTGGGGCAAAGCTTCTGCATAAACTGAACTCCGCTCGCCACAGCTTGTAAATATTTCTGGTTCTGCACTATGCAGGGGCAATTACAAGTTTTGATTTAAAAAGCCAAACAAAGGACTTAAAGCCAAGGTGACAATATCAATAAGAAATGAGAATAAATAATCAAGTATGTAATTCTTCATATAATTCCCTCACTCTTAAAATACCTCACCCATCCATAGACCTAAATTGGTTAACAGTTTTTCCTTTCACCTCATTTCAGTGAAGAGTTAGAAGCCTTTTCCCAAGTTAAGCCATCCAGGCACTTTAAAAACGGAGATAAATTATATAAAAACAATCAAACAGCCACCTTATTCTGGATTAAAAATATAAGCCTGTTATCAAGGGGGCACATTTGTATAGTATATTCTATCATATTTTCATAAGAAAAATGGGTAGATTCACACTGAGTCATCACTCTATATACTCATAGGCAGGATTATGTTATTATAACATCAGCATAATAGCTACAATCCAAAATTTGAGGTATTTACTTTATTGATTCATTTGTGTTACAACTGTAATCCTTTTTAAGAGAAAATTCATTTAAATAAGATTTTAAGATTCTCCTCCATCCCATATATAGTGATGTGTTAAATCTTGAAAACAATTTTTTCTTCCATTAAAACTCTCCTATGAGACCCATTAGCAATTCCACCAAGCTTGCCTCATCATATCAATCTAATTATAAATCAGGTTAACTTTAGAAATTACTGTAGTAATATAATTTGAAAGCTATAGGAGCCAATTGATGCTTTTTGTTTATCACTGGCATGCCTAACAACAGGCCCAGAAACGTCCCTTTCCTGGCAGCTAAATGGTACCACACAATATCATGGCAGGCACAACGCCTGCGAAATATGGCTCAAAGGAGCTCAACAGCTGGCCTCCTACATTTGTGGTTATACCAATTAACAGAAATAAATTACCAAAGAAATTACTCACTACTGACAGCACATTTGGTCTCTTCAGAAAATCTTTACCATATATGCAATGTTAACATATTTAAATGAAAGAATGAGAGAAACCATTAAAAATTTACTGTCACAATTTTTGTGGAGGTCCATCTTTAACTACACATGTATAAAACTTTATAGTTTACAAATTGTTTTCATATGCCTCATTCATCAATATTTCCTTGTTAAATTCTAGTTCCCACTAAAGACTAGAAAATACCATGTGATAGAAAAAAGAAACACACAATGTACATTGGGTTACCTTTTATACTACACACACACACACACACACACACACACACACACACACAGAGTAATATTTAACATATACAAGTATATAATTTGTCACTGAGCCATCAAACTTTACTGTGCTGTTGCTCTTGTCATCAATAAAAAACAAAATCATCTAAGATTGGTAAGAATTCTAATAAGAACAATATTGTTTTGACAAAACTAGACATGAAAGTAAAGACATTAATGAATTATCATATGGAATTATAGCATTGAAGATCGAATCTATCTTTTTTACAAGAATAAAACTCTTCAATTCACCAAAGTGTTTACTGCACCTTTCTCTGATTTTTATTTTTATTTTATTTATTTTTTAGCTGAGCCATCCTGCCACCTGTTGGCAGCTCAGCAGCAGCTCAGCTTTGGCCAGGAATTGAACCGGTGACCCTGTTGCTCAGAGCTCGCCCTCTTGAGTGAGCTCTTAGCCAACTGAGCCACTCGGCTGGCCCCTTTCTCTGATTTTTAACTCTTAACCTAAATTGTACAATGAAATAGTGGATAATTACAAAAACAAAGATTATAGATATCTTACCATATACTCCTTTGTCTAAAAGTAGTAAAAATTCATCCACAGCGTTACGCATCTCATATTCAGTAAGATCCAACAGTGAAACGACTTTGAAATCCAGCTGTCTTAACAAGTTGGTCAATTCATACACATCCACCAAAGGAGCTTTAAGCTTGGGGTGCTCCCAGTAATTCATATTTCCTATCAAAAGTGCAACCTTATCCTTTGCTGTTAAAAAAAAGGGGGGGGGGCGAGAGAGATTGAAAGGAGGATATAAAGATTAAAATAAAACTTACGGAAATGGTATCATTATAATAAAAAAGTAGTTTGCTTTACAAATAAGATTTCATTATTATTTACCTTCGAATGATCACTTTATGCAGCAGACCTATACTGAGGACCACAGAGTCTAATAAATCAAACTACTGTAATTAAACTTATTGATACTTTTGAGAACCAGGCAAAGGATATTTATTAGCTGTATACGAAGCATATGGTAACTAATATCAAAGTATACTTCTATTGAATTACAACAAAAGTATAGAATATAATATTGAACCATGCTTTTAGAGTAAATTTAAATAAGGAATGTTTGAAATTGGGTTCCTATCAAATTAGGTTCTATTTTGCTGGCAATTGAAGAGGCTAAAAACAAAAATACCAAAAAGAGGAACAGGAAGAATTTGTATCAGGGCAAGTAAGGGGAAATACCAAAAAGAAGAAAAAAATAGCAACTTAAGTACTGTTATCTGTATTTTTTCAGTTGATGTACTGTCTTCTCTTAGCTTTTTTTTTTTTTTTAACTTTTATTAGCGTTTATTTGATGCTAAATTTACGCTGGGCCATACATTTTTGATTCTTTAGTTTCTTCTGGGAGATCTTTTTCTCCTGTGCAGCCTTCATCTTCTAATTTAGGCACAATCTGCTCTTTTTCTGTGAGGAGCATCTCAGTGTGGCAGGGGGAGCTCATGTCAGGGTTCATCTGCCCGTGAGGTCTGTAGGTTCTGCAAAACATCTTGGGAGCTTTGTTCACCCAGCTGTGCTCAATGACCAGAGTCTACATCTAAACCCTTTAAGTTCAGCATCACTCTCTGCATTTGTAAGCATGTGCAGCAAAAATTCTGAACTCTTTTTGGGCCACCAACCCTGTGTCCAGCCCCACTGTTTGACATGGACACACCTCCCAACTCCGTCATTGAAACGATGGAATGGCATGCATTGTATCTTAACGTGACATCCTTTAGATACATGGTGGCTTTTGGGGTATGCATACCCTTGATGGCCTGAGCAGTTTCATGAGTATTTTAAAAATGAATATGGGGCCGGCCGAGTGGCGCATTGGTTAAGAACTGGCTTGGGATGCCAGAGGGCCCTGGTACGGATCCCACATATGAGGGCCTGTGACACTGCCCTCTACAGCTAAGATGCTGAACAACAGCTTGATCTGGGGCTGGGCTGCTGTGAGTCACCGGTGATGGCGTAGGCTGCAGCCCCTGCTGTAGTGGGTTGCCATGGGCTACCATGTGTGGCCGGCAGCCAGCGTGAGTGGCCAGCAGCCGCTGTGAGCAGCCATCCAGAAGCCGGCAACTGATCTGCCTCGCCCGGGAAGAGCGCAATGATGGTGCCAACTTGGGCCAGTGAAGCAACGTCCTCCACAACTAGACTGAAGAACAAAGGACAGCAACTTGTCTGTTCCCCTTCCCCCAATTCCCCAGCACTGTTCCCATCCCCCAATTCCCCAATAAAATCTTAAAAAAAAAATGAATACGAAGATTTGAACCTCTAGATTTACATGATTTCATGGGGTTCTCTGGGTCAAGTGAATAGTAAACCATTTTCAGAGGTCATCTCAGCCGGCTGACGGGAAGAGCTTCTCTTAGCTTCTTTAAAAAAATGTCCCGTTTGGGTGAGATACGGCTACTTTAGGGATATGTGAAGACTTTTGTATGAAAATCTTAAAGTTTATTTTCTGACTCAGCGCACTGAGACTTTGTTCAAAGATGTGCTTTTATGCCATTTTTTTCCCTGTTTTTGGGAGGCAAAAAGATCCACACCTATGCCCTACAAAGTACCAGCTAGCTTCATCAGGTGTATAGCTTGTCCAAAACCATCTGTGGGAGGCTGGACATAACTTAGTGCTTAAGAGGTCTTCAAAATTGTCCCTTTGCTAGTCTGGAGTGGGGTTCAAAGATAAAGACGTGAGACCATGCCATGACTACAGGAACCTGTTATGGTGTTTTTCTCGAGGAAGCTATGGCGTGAATCCACGAAGGAGACATCAGAGACTGGTGGGGATGACATAACCAGAGCATCCGGCAGAACCGGTAACCGGCTGCAGAGTCACACTGGGTAGGGCTGCAGGCTCCCTTATGTCACAGGCCAGGACTAGGCAACTAGCCTCTGTCACAAAGTGCTGCTAAGTCGTTTACTAATAAAGTATTATGAATACCACTCCTATGAAATTGTAGCAGGCACAAAGAGTCACATTGCTGACTTGATGTCTGCAATATTTAACAGAATTCCCGATGTTTCAAATCATTAAGTTGATTAAATTTCACCAAACATCTTTCTGGTAAAATTTTATCTTTCCACAGAACACTTAAGTCTAGTGTTAAACAGGGTCCAGAGAAAAACTAGTATCAAAGGATGTGACTCTCTCGAAGTGGCAGAAAACCCCACTTTGTGAAAAGCCTCAATACTTTCATGCCATAGTATCTTTATTCTATACTTACATTTTCAGAGATCTCTTACAAATTGCCCATTTGTATGACTATACACATTTCAGGAAAAAAAAAATGATACCTAAGCCATATTTCTAATTTAATAGAAGTCACTTCAACTATTATACAAATGATAATCTCTTCTTTTACTCAAAAGAAAGGCCAATTACCAAGACTATATAAGGACTCAGACATAAAGCTTCTATTAAACTGTCTTTAGTTCCAAAACAATGAAAAATTTGAGAACACTCAGTATGGATTCAATAGAAGGCAGTATAAACTTACACCACTAGATTTCCTTTTTTTAAAAAAGTTTCTTCTTACATAAATTAGATATGCACTCTTACACCAAAGTACTCACTATATAGTAAGACTATTAGCTGGCTAATCTACAGAAAGAAAATTGTCAGTGCATTTTTCTGTGAGCCCACCAACCCTACCAAGAATTCAGACCCAACCTCACTATGATGAAGTCAGGTCAACCCACTTCTAAGTGAGGGGAAGTAAGACAACGTGGTGTCTCTGGCTTACATGGCTATAGGCCAAATCATGAGATTCCTGAAGTGACTCAGGTAGTAAAGTGCTTGTAAATCATAGTGGGTTTTTGCTGGAACATTATGATAATTTAATTCTAATATATATCCTAAACTAAGTTTTGTTGTCAGAAAACAATTATAAGCTATGTAATAGAAAAAAAAAGCCAGTTGTGAAACTAGCATCATAGGCTGTTTCTGCTAATATCAATTCTTTTTATTTATTTATTAAAAAAAAATTTTAAAAAAGATTTTATTGGGGAATTGGGGAAGGGGAACAGTCAAGTTGCTGTCCTTTTGTTCTTCAGTCTAGTTGTGGAGGACGTCGCTTCACTGGCCCATGTTGGTATCATCATTGCACTCTTCCCAGGTGAGCCAGTCGCTTGCCGGCCACTGGACAATGGCTCATGGCAGCTCACGAAAGCTCACGCCCGCTGCCAGCCAGCCCCACTGCAGCCTACGCCGGCGACTCATGGCAGCCCAGCTCCAGGTTGAGCTGTTGTTCACCATCTTAGCTGTAGAGGGCGCAGCGTCACTGGCCCTCATGTGGGATCCGAACTGGGGCCCTGCTGCTCAGAGCTGGTGTCCCAAGCCAACTCAACAAATGCGCCACTCGGCCGGCCCAAATATCAATTCTTTATTCGCTGGTTTTGTTATCTGTTTGCAAAGAATACCTGGTATAGTTTACAGAATGCAAGGGTTCGACAATGTGCCTTAAAATGTATGTATTGATAATTGATCATAATTCTTCAAAACTTTTCCCCTAATGGTGATTTTTAATAGCTACTTTCAGAAATGTCTTAGAGCATTTTCTTGAATGTAATGGTAATGAAGATGATGAGTAAATCAATCTTACCTTGCCCAATCTACTTGTAAAAAAAGTTCCAGAATGGCAGGCAAACCGAGGATTTAGGATAGAGAAGCAGACTGCAGTGGTCAAAATAAGAGACGACAGGAGGGCCGGCCAAGTGGCTCAGCTGGTTAAGAGCTCACTCAAGAGATGACAAGGACTCATCGCAGGAAATTGGTTGTAGACGGGGAAAGGAAAAGTCAGAGTTTAGAGACATGATAGAGAAAGGAAAACAGTAACATTTGAAGTTGAGGAGATAAGAGTGAGGAAACTTCAAAATAGCAACTAAATAAGCCATTTATGATAGTTTTCAAATGATAAAATAAATGGAAGAAATTTTCTGCAGAAAAACATTTACTGTAAGAGCCACCCACAATTTCTTGAACACAAACCATTGATTGGAAAAAGGAAACATGAATTCAAGTTGATAAAGCAATAGAACAAAACCACTTCAGAAAGATCTTTTAACTACATGATCCTAGACATTTTCCAAAGTTCCAAGCAATGTATTCTTTAAACACTGGTACAGTGATACATCATGAGTCCCCGTCTAATTGTCTATTGGTGTGTTCCTCATGTCATCTCATCTAAAATGAATCAGCATTAACAAGCACCTGGAACAGAGCCTGGCACATGTTTAGTGCTGTATTAAGTCCTTATTAGATAAAATCTTGGGCCATCTATCAAAACTCGAGTATTAGCATAAAATCTGACTGGTTGAATATACAGTCTTTGTTGGTCTCATGCATAAAGCCTTTCAATCTCTGTCAAGCAACATCAAGTCCAAATTCCTTAGTCTGGCAAACAAAGCCATCCATGTTCGCGTCCATGCCTGCCTTTCCAGCTGTGGTGGAAGACAGCCTCCAGGGAACCACGGGATCCTGGCCCTCATGCAGTGTCGTCACCCTCACACCAGCCCCCAGCCCCATCCCCGAATCTTTAAACAACATAACGTGGCATGACACTCTGCTGGTTCTGAGTCTAAACCTTAAGAAGTGTTACAGCTTCCAGTTTGGGGATCCGGCCACCATGTAAAGAAATTTAGCTTCATGGCAAGACCATGTGGGGAAGGAGGGGAGGGGAGACAGGGAGAGAATGTTCACAACAGGAAAACAGGTAGGCACATGCCCCTTTTAAAGGGGCAGCCACTAGCTCCTGCGCAGTGGGTGGCCATGGGCTGCCGTGCAGCCAGCAGCCAGCGTGAGCGGCCGTCCAGAAGCCGGCGACTGATCTGCCTCGCCCGGGAAGAGTGCAATGATGGTGCCAACTTGGGCCAGTGAAGTGACGTCCTCCACAACTAGACTGAAGACCAAAACGACAGCAACTTGTCTGTTCCCCTTCCCCCAATTCCCCAATAAAAATCTTTAATTAAAAAATAAATACATAAATAAATAAATAATAAAGGGGCAGCCACTATTTAGCCACAACTGACAGGTACCACTTTTTAAAAGGACCTAGAAATCTGAATGTTTATGACATCTGACCAATGAAAAATGATTATAATTGTTAAAAAAAACCCCACAAAAAACCACTGTATGCCCCCCCACCCCAAAAGGTTAGGCAGTTTTATGCCCTTTTCTCTACGGCATGCAGCAATCTCTTGTTTGCTGTTCCTTGGTTTTAACCTCCACATCTATGCTGGTGACACTAGTAACTGTACCTCTGATCCTGGCGTCTCCTTAGAATTCCAGATCCAAGTACACAACCGCCTCTGAACCCTTCACCCGGATGTGACACCAATACCTCATACTGCTGAGGGCCCACCTGACAGTCATCTGTCCTCTGAAGCCTGCTTTGGACTCTGTATTCTCCAACTCAGTGGGCTGTGTCACTGCACCCCGAGGGGTCCAAGCAAGAACCCTAGCAGGCCTGGTGATTCCTCTCTATTTTTTATGCCTTATAGCAAGAGGACAGAAACAGCTTCCTGAGTCCATCACCTGATGATCTTCTGAATTTGTTCTTGTTTTCTGCAATCTCATTGGTAGTAGCCTCAGTGGATTCTCATTATTTCTTAGCTAGACTACTGGAACAGTTTTTACATTTTTATCCTAACCAAAAACGTCTCCCTCCAGTTTGCTTTCTGCACCGACACAAGACTGGCCTTTCAGAGAGGCAACTCTCCTTCACGCCTCTACCGGAGTTTCCATGTGATGGCGCATATGGGAAAGGGGCCTCCGGAAGACCTGGTTTCATTCTTCTCCTCTGGCCTCCTCCTCTCTATGCTCCAGAGCACTGAGGGATATTCGTAGTTCTCCCAATTCAACGCTGTCTCACTTCCCTGCCATGCTGGACTCAAGCTTTCAGGTTCTCTGTCTGCAAGGCCCTTCTCCTGCTCATCCTGCACAATGTAGAGCTGTACTTGCAGCCTCTCTGCTGCTTTTTCTAGTCTAACCGCCCCCCCCTCCCCCCAGAGGTCGTGTTACGCACGTCTGTGTAACATACACGTTTCCTTCTGCTTACATGCTTGTATGTTTGCATGTTGCCAAAACAAAGACATCATTCCACAGAAGCTGACTTGGTCCCAGAGACTGAATTCATAACCTTTTTAAACCTCTTGCTCTATAATTTCTTTTACAAATATCCAAAATACACCATTTGGTCCCAGTGTTATTCAAATATTTACAAAAGCTGTTAAGTAAAAATGTCTTAAATCCCTTCACGATCGCCACAAATGAAATATATATCATAATTATATTCTGGTCAAGCATTTTAAAGCTCTACTCACCCAAAGGTTGGTCAGCTGTTTGCTCTTTATTATCTGTAAAAGAGTAAAAACGCAAAAAAAACGAAAGGTGTTATTATTCGTGCTACAAGTTTCTTCAGGGTTAGAGGTATATGGAAACAATGCACAATAACATTGGTGGCATTAAAAGACAGACTGGTTTCATAAGCTAGCTGGATTGTAAGATTTTCAGACTGAGAAAAACGTATACCTGGATGGATAAAGCTGGGGTCAGATCAGGGGGTACCTTTGGTACCTGATTGCCAGAGCTGTGCGTGCTAATCCTTAACACGCCAGGGAGAGGTGACAATGTGAAAACTGGGCGGTGGGGACAAGCAGCAGGGTTAGCAATTACTGAAGGCCTGCTGGGTGCTGTTCTACGTGCTTCAATATAACTGATTGAAATAAACCTCCCTGTACGAGGTACATACGATGACCACCTCCATTATACAGGTAAGGAATCTGAGGCGGAGAGAGACTGAGTCACTTGCCCAAAGTTATCAATCTTGGAGAAAATCTCATTCCACAGTCCGTGCTCTTTGCCTTCTGTTCTATATAAGATGAAATACTCCCACCCCCGAGGACCATGCAGGAAGAGATACAGGGAGAGATGGAATTCAGTCAGTGATGTGTCTACTACTACACACAGGGTAACTCTTGCACATTTTAAAATAATTTATATGCTACTGGAATCTATTAAATTTATTAAATTTTCTCTTTCTAAAACTCAAATGTTTTGGTGTCTCTGAATCTTGAAGAGTACAGATAAAATGAAAGGATGCCAAGAAAATTTTAGAAGCTTAGTGGTGGCTCTTTGCAAAAGTTTTCCTGAAATAACTTTTCACAATGTTCACTGAAGGGCGAGCAGGATTCTAAGCAGATAAAGAGGAACAACTGGCTATATTACTAGGATGGTCCCCAGACAGCAGGCAGGCTCGGGGGTTCGGGTGTGTCCCCGAGCCTTCCCCTGAGCTCCAGGTTGGTGGCAAGAATGACACTCTGGTTGACAGTGGCTTTCTGGTTTGTCTAATTCACCTACATGTAAGTAATCAGCACAGCGCAATCGTCATTAGGTGTTCATTAACAATAGATATTTACTAACAAAACATGGGCACGAAACTAAGCAAACTAGTTATGGTGCTACAATAATGAGATATCACATGTCAGGGAATAAGAGAACTCTTGATAAATACTCAATGATACAGCTGTCTTCATAATCGAGTCCTGGAAGGTTTTACTTTCAGATAGACTCCCAGGCTCCATCACTGCCTTTCTGAACGCCCATGACCTATGCATGTCCTTGTCTTCACGGAGTCCTCACTATTACTCTGCCTATCATCTTATCTAAGGCTTTCCCTCTAGCTGAACTTGTTTAGAAATCCGTTTTGACTAAAACTGGCCAAAGAGTGATGAATGCTCCTGCCAACTGTCCGTCTCTTAACGGTCACTGACCAACTACTTACCTAGACAGTGCCAACTCTTCCTGCTAACACACCTTTTATTTCAGATAAGGCCACCCCACCCAACTAGTTCAGGTATGTTCTATGACTGAGCAACTCTGACCAAGGTCCCAGGGGTCTGGGGAGTTCAGAAATGTTGCTGCTGTCACTTTCAAAGACTGCTTCTTGTCTTTCAAATTGAAGATCATGTACTTCCCCCATTAACTAACCGCCTATTTATGATACAGTCACGCACAATGGTAAAAGACGCACTGATGTTTTATGCTGCCTCAGGATACTTTCTTTTCCACCGTATAGCTTTACAACCTAGAATATTTTTAATATTTTCACTTGCATGAAACTGTACTCCATATAATTACAACCCGAAATTACACTATTTTAATAAAGAAAAAAGCTACTAGTACTACGATAGCAAAAGAATATCTATAGTATCTTCAAGTTATTGTATTAAATAACTTAAAAATCTAAAACTAATGTTGTATGTTTATATGACTCACCAGGATGCCCGAGATGATTTAATTCATCTGAAATAAGAGAAAATGGATGAGTGTTAAGTAATCTAGCTGCCAACTTAGCACAAATAATAAGACTAATCAAAGAAGAAGGTTTTGAGCTATTAGATCATGTTATAATGGTTCATCAGTTTAGAATTTTTCAGAGACCATAAGTGAGAAGCCATGCAAATATTAGGACTTCTAAGCCATTATTATTTTCATTAAATGACAAAAAGCTAAGTAGACTCACTATTTGCTCAGAGTTTTAGATATTCTGGCCAATTATGGGACAAAACAGTTGAGAGGTCTGTCTGTGGCTCAACTATACACTTCCTGAAATTAACAATCTCAAATGATTCCTTTTTTTAATAAACTTTACATTTTAGAACAACTTTACGATTTAAAGAATGAATGTGAATACAGTGCAGAGATCCTGCATATAACCACAGCTAGTTTCCCTATTTTTGACATCTTATGTTAGGAAGGTATATTTGTTCTTATATGTGATCTAAATCAACTAAAGAGTAGCATCGGCTAGAGTACATGCTACATACAATTTCTTTTGCCTCTTATCTTACAGACTTCACTCTTTTTTTTTTTTTTTTAAGCTGAGCCATCCTGCCACCTGTTGGCAGCTCAGCAGCAACTCAGCTCGGGCCGGGCATCGAACTGCTGTTGCTCAGACTTCACTCATTTCTGATTGCTTAGGTCAGCATTTCGTTCTTCCCTCTCCTCTTCAGCGAGGTTGCTTTATACATTTGGAATACACTTAGATTCTTTTGTCATATTCTGCATTCCATCCTGGAATCCATCCTCCTCTGACCAACTAATGGTTTCTTTAAACCTGCATCCCCTTATTCACCAGTACAGTGCTCATACAGAATGGTGTCACTGCCCTACCAAATAACCTGAGCTTCACCTAATTCAATCCCTACCCCTTGTCCTGATCAAATATCTTTAACAAAATACGTAAAACGAACTAGATAACATCATGTTCCATGGGTGAAAAAAATATAAGATATGACGTAGGACTCTGTTCATGATCTGTGTCAACCAACCAATTATAAAATGTCTCAACTTTGTAGACTTTTTTAGAAAGAAAAGTTGGATCTCATTTTTCCATCTGAAATTCCTGGAGTAGTTTTCATAGTTGGATTTTCATCTCTAAGTGTTTGGAACAGATTTATTTGAAAATTATTATTTAATGGTGTGTTGTTACTGCAAAAATTATAGGGAGAATCTTACAGGTTAAAAAAAAAGGTGAAAATTTACAGGAATTACCCTGAAGCCAAATGAGACAGAAAAGCTAATTTTTAAAAAATTTATTCTAACAGGACTCCAGTGTTAGGAAGTTATAAAAATCATGCAATTAGGCAAAAAAGGAGTAAGAGAAGAAAGGTGTTTGGTTAGGATTTCTTCACATAGCTTCCCTCATATAAAGCCCACAGACCATGAGACTGGAAAACCCTTTTGCTAGAGAACTCCCATCCACAATTATGTACTGGGATGAAAACAGTGATTATGTATTTCAAAGTGACACCATAGTGATTTGAAGAACAGAAAAATCAGGAAACATTATATTTAACCTTATTTTCTTAATTTATCCAAGTAGACCCTAAGGTTATACAATAGTTTAAAGAGGCAGAAATGGAAAAAATACTTTGCTATCCACAAACCTAATTTTGCAAAATAATGTGATACCATACTAAGGGAACTTAAGTTTTAAAATGTACTCATTACAACCTATGTACAGTGCTTTAATTAAAACAAATTAGAAGTGTATGTTAAAATAGATTTTCAGTTCTCTTTATGTATTATGGTAAAGATGACATGGTAGATTAAGCTGCAACTTTGTAGCTTCAAAAATTGATCTTATCAATTTCATATTAAAACAGTATATTTAATATTTATATAACATGTGTTAAACAATAAATAGCCTGTCCTGAAACTTTCATAGAAATTACATTCACATTTCAGAAGCATATTGTCATGGCTAAAGTATAGATAAAATAATCTAAACAACTTTCCATGACAGTATAGCCATCCATCTTTTTTACAAATTTTGTGAAGATAAAAATCGGCATTAGGAATTAATTGCAAATGTTCACTATTCATAAGATGTTATGCAGAACTTTATTATTACATGCAATAGAAAATCAACTGAGTTACTGTCACGGTATGTCAATTTAACAGTGTCTATGGCAATTTACCAATCCTCAAAGACACAATATCCTTAGATGAAAATGATTTCTTACAGCTAGTATTTTTTCCATCACTGCAATCAGTGGGTTAGAGCACTCCACCAATCCCGAGAGGCACCAGCATGCAGGATACCTGGTTTCAAAGCAAAGGATTACACTACCTTCCGTGCACTCCACTGCCTCATCTGTTCTTCCTTGTTCCAGAGAAAACAAATGTGAATATATTGTAATTCATGATCTTAGGAAGAGCAGCCATCAAGCAAATAGAGAGATAAATATGACAGAACTATGTTGGCAAACCAACACATGCATCGACATCTCCGACTATTAGCAATACAGCTATAAATGTATTAAGCTTAAATACAACAAACTCCCCAGTTATGTACTTTATAATGGGGAGCATAGAGTAATCATCATTCTTTCCTTCATATGTCTGTGATGTTTGTTTTTTAAAAAATGTTTTATTAAAAATCTTTTCCCACTAAATCAAGTTCTTGATAACTAAAGTTTTAATACACGTTTGACCTAATTGTTTAAAATAAAATATAATATTGAAAAATAACTCGAAAGATCTAAATAAAAAACTATTTTTCTGGCTCTTTCTGCTCCTGGTATTTGAACCTAGATCATGCATTTAGTATGTATTCTCTCAAATTTCTATATAAACAGTATAACTCCTGATACTTAACACACCATTGAATAGAATGGGGTAAAAATAGCAGAATTTCCTTTGCTTAAACATTTCGCTTTATATAGCTTACATTATACTCCATTTGTCAGAACACTGAGTAACACTGCTTACCTATGATGATCTCTGCCTTCTTGCTATCTTGACTGTCTCGGTCATTATATGCACGACACCAGTAGATTCCTTGATGTTCCAAATCCACATAAGGCACCTGTATCAGTATCAGAACACACAAACATTTCCTTGTCAATTTTAATTTACATTGGCTTGGAGAAAAAGTTATTTTGTACTTTATAAAAACTATGAAACAAAGTTTCAGAAGGCTTTAGACACTCTTAGATGATTTCCATTCATTAGGGTACATATTAACAAGCAAATGATACAATGATTCCAGTAACACTGAGTTTGGTGCAATACTATTTGACATTTTAGTATAAGCTCTTAGATGTGGCACTAGTATATTCTAGCACTTTTGCAAATATAAGAGTCAATTAATATTAAATAACAAGGGACATGAAACAAAAATTCTGAAAACATAAAAACATCCCAAAGAATATAAATTTTAATATTTACCTTAATGTTTAATTATACTATTTTACATATTAACACAAAATACCCCCCAAATCCAACTTCCTACCATGTATAGCTTTTTTGTCTCATGTGTTAGCGGTGATTCATTTTTGAACCACTGGTAGTGAGGAATAGGGCTTCCAACAGCAACACACTGGAGGACCAATGTGCTGCCTGGCATCAGCTTTTGGGACCTCGGTTCAACACAGATTTTCAACTTGGATTCAGAGACGCAATCCAAGCTTCCTTAAAGTAAAAGAAAGATATCATTAAACATAAATAAAATCTCTAGGTTAAAAAAAATTTTTCCCTTTTAATTAAAAAAAAAAAAGTATTTTCAAGTTCATCCTTCATTTTTTTTCAATCTTTAATAGCATCTCCCAAACTGTTTCATAAAACATTGGGTAAAGTACATATGCATGCTTTGGGTGATATTTTCATACTTTGAAATTATTTGAAAGCAAACATTTATATAAAATAAAATAAGGCAATTCCCTTCCCAACATTCAAGTTAATCACTTACCCTGGAAGCTTTCTGTTATTTCTGTGACATCACAAACATCCAGCTGTGACCACTGGCTGAATTCAAAGGTGAAGTTATTATTAACTCGACAGACATAAAAGCCTGCATCTTTAACATGCACTGTGTTAAAAATAAGTTCTGAGGCATTTCCATTTGGAATCTGTAAAAAGAATCAATAAGAGAATGTCAGTGAATGACTTGTCAAAGCATGCCTTATCAAAAAGGTGCTGTGCGAAACGTATGATGTCCTTGGAGTTTTGAAAAGTATCGTTTTTCCAAGTTCTAAAATATTTGTTACTTAAAAAACAAATAACATTTTGAATAACTTAGGACTGAAGAAATCCACAGTTGTCTACAAATCCATTAACCAGAGCATTAATAAACTCTCTCCCATATATCTTCCGCAAACTCATTAACAGAAAAGTATCTGTTCTGTCATGTAAAACTGCTCAATCATTGGTATTTAAAGAATCTACAATTGCAACATTTATGAGTTAAATAGCCATACAACATGACAAACACTACATGAAGTACAGAGTACGCAGAAAGTTAGGCCTGGCTACTAACTTTAGTTCTGACCAAATTAGCTGTGCATACATGAGCAAGTTATTTCACCTCAAGAGCCCATTTTCTCATCTGCCAAATTCTAGAAGAGGATAGGCTCCTCAACCAATATGCTACTTCTTTGAAGGTCTGGGCAGAGAAGGACTATGGAAACCATATGTGCGATGGGAAGAAATGGCCCTCCAAGGGTTTCCTAAACTTTGGTCACTACGTTAAGGTTTGTGTCACCTTTGCTGCTCCCATCAATTTATCAGAGCCACCCAACTCTGACACATTGCCAAGGAAGGGGCTAAGTGTCACGTTATATTATATTAGCTCCCTTGCAAAGTACTTTAACAAGTTCAATCGTCTTTTTCTCCAAACCCCAACTGAATTCAATTCTTTCCCCTCTCAGAAACCGTGCCAGAAAGAGCATTTTGCTGAAGATTTGACAGCTGGGTAGCAGGCTGCACTTAGTACCACCTGATGGTCCTACCATGTTAATCTACGAGGCTGACTTTCCTATTAGACCAGCGGTTCTCAACCTTCCTAATGCCGCGACCCCTTAATACAGTTCCTCGTGTTGTGGTGACCCCCAACCATAAAATTATTTTCATTGCTACTCTATAACTGTAATTGTGCTACTGTTATGAATCTTAATGTAAGTATCTTTTTGTTTTCCGATGGTCTTAGGCGACCCCTGTGAAAGGGTCGTTCGACCCCCAAAGGGGTCGTGACCCACAGATTGAGAACCGCTGTTTAGACTATTAATGTCTACTTTCTCTCTCCTCAACCCCCCCAATCCTACCTCTCTTAGCTATGGACCTCTTCTTGCCACCAAATCACACGCCCATCTCTGTCTGTACCTACTTCTAACTGCTCTTCCCCCTCCTGTTAAAACGGAAAAGGTGTCTTCCTAACAAAGGCTACCTGGGCTTAGGATCTGTGGGGATCCACTCAGAACCCCAGAGTTGGTATGAAGATTAGTTCAAGCTGAAGACATTTGGGATTCCACAGATGCAGAAAAAAGCCTTCTCAGAGCTCTCCTTATCTGACTAAAAGCAGAAGCTTCTGGGAAATGAGGCTATCATAAATTCCCCCTTCAGGGCAGCTTTTACTCCCAGGAACGAGACCAAGAATCAACCTACCATAAATCCCCACTCCAGGGGAGATTGATGGTCATGAAGATGATGGAAAACCCACTTGTACCTGCATGAATAAACAATATCACAAACTTTCTTATCTCTCATTTACTCTTCTAGAAACCTCCTTATTTCCTAAAGAAACCCATTTGTTCTTCCCACAGAGGCCTTTTCTCCTTCCTACCTTTTCTTGACTAAGTTAGGTATATAGGCCTCTAACTCTAGCCATTCACGGAGCTACTTCTTTTGTAAGTTCCCATATGAATAAACTTCTCTTGCTGATTTGGAGTTTGTCAGTTAATTCGCAGGCCCCCAGGGACTGAACACAAGAGGGTAGAGGAAAAGTTTCTTCCTCTCTGACTATCCCATCCTCTCTGACCTTGCTCCTGTAATTTTATTTCTCTGCTTGAGCATCTATTTCTCTCTTTTATTGTATCACTTTCAAAAACACACGCTAGTGCCTTGTATCTTAAACAAACAAACAACCCCAAATATACCTCTCTGGACCCACACCCCCTCTCCGCAGCATTGAAAATGCTGACCACCCCTTTCTCTGTGAAATGTTTTCCCTTTTAGGTTTCCTTTCATCCCCCCTGGATTTCCTCCTATCTCTCTTGTAGAGTCTTCTGAGTCTGTTTACTGGCTCCTCCTCCTCTATGTAAACTTTCAATGTTGTCTCCCTGGATATCCAAAATGACTAGTTGACTCACTGAAATGTCTAATAGGCATTTCAAACATAACATGTCTAAAACCAAATTCCTGATTTTTCTCCCTATATCTATACCTCTCCTCATATTCAACGCTTCAGTATGTAACATAGCCCGATGCTTAAGTAAAAAATCTAGGGGTCATTCTTGATCGCTCTCCCTTTTTCCTCATGCTCCACATCCAGTCAACGGGGTTTGGTTAACTCTGTCTCTAAAATAAAATGACGTACACACTTTGCCCCATCCCCACTGCCATACCCTGGTCCACACGACCGCTATTTCTCGCCTAGCACAGTCTGTGTTTTAAAAGCATAAATCCTATCATGTTACTTCTCCTGCTGAAGACCTTTAGCGGCTCTCAATTTCTATCACCCTGTTAATTTTCCTCATGGCTCTTAACTCCAAGAAGTGTCTCCTGTGCTTACTTGCCTGTGTCTCCCCACTGGAAGTGGCAGCGCCCCTGTGTGTCAGTGTTTTATCCACATGGCCTTAGAACACGGCCTAGCACAAAGCTGGTGCTCATCAAGTCCTTGCTAAATGAACTCTCTCCTAAAACAGACCCACAGGCATAAGAGTGGGCTGATGAGACTTCACTTGTCGGAGCTTCAAGTTCATCACAACTCTTCAAGGCTAAGATGTACTCCCCCACCCCCCGCATCCCTGCCTTTCTCAAACTGTGACATAATTTACAAATGATATACTCAATGTAGTAGGTTTTATCCATTATTTTTCCCTCAAAAGGTGCATATATTCAAATGAAAGCAACTGTGCAATTGAGGAAATATGGTAAAGACAGCTTCCATTACCATGGCTTGAAAGCCAACATAAAGCACCCTGCCTGCTAAATTCTCACAACCTCCGACAATAGGCATCTGCATTGCTAGTGACGACAGCCAGGGTTCCAACACAGGCCTCTCTGGTCCCAAAGCCTACACGCAGTCTTCTTAGTACACCACACAGATGCTCTACCTTCCCTGTGGGTGAGGGATGGACACAGAAAACTGTGTAAAACTACCCATCTTTTCTAAGACAAGAGAAGGTGATCCCCATTCAAGGGAAGATCATAATCTGAGAACGACTCTTTCACTTTGTGTTAGGTTTGCAAATGTGGACTTATGGTTGAGTTTGGAAGACAGCTCAGTTATCTGACTAACGGGCTGAAAAGACTATGGAATTTCAAGGTATGATCGACAAGGGAAGAGGGCAAGGGGAGATGGATGAGGGAGAAAAGAGAAGCCCACTCAGTGGGGTACACACGGGTGAGCCAGGTCAGTGAGAGCTCCCCAGAGGCAGAGTGGCTCACAGAACTTTTACGAAAAGAGAATTCCCATATATGATTGGATGGCGCAGGGATAAGACGCTTCCGCAAGAGGAATGCTCCCCTCCCCCAACTGAATTCTACTTCGCAACCTCGCAACAGCTTAAACCTTTTGATATAATCCAGTTATATGGAAAACTTAAAACATTGTTGCATTAGCTTTCCACATCACCTTGACAGACTTTTAATGAAAGATTTGTTTTGGAACCTAATTTTTGCATAGATATGCCAGAAAATTCTGGCGATGTTTCCTCTCGGTTACCACTGTTGCTTCCAAGAGTCCCCATGTTCCATCCACAATTTTTAGACAGGAGAATTGGTTTTATTACTACTTACAATGTTTTAGGCAATTTTGGAATTGTCTTACCAAAATAATGAGCACTGGACATTTCAGTAATAACACAGCAACATCGATCAGATCAAACTTCCCAAGAACATATTGAGGCTGAACACACCCATTCATTTTCTATCATTCTATCTTCTAAGGACAGAGGAATTGAAAGACATTTAAAACAATTACCTCTTTATTCATTTTGAACCATTGATACTGCACAAAAGGATGTCCAGTTGCCCGGCAACACAGCCTCACAAACTGTCCAGCCAAGACTGCCTTTGACTCAGGGTTTACGGTGATCTTTATTCCTTTAAAGAAAAAAGTTACATCAATGAAGTCATAGAAAAGGGGGTTTCCTTGTTTATGTTTCTGAAACCAAAAAAAAAAAAAGTAATTTGGAAATAACCTGCATATCCATCCTGGGCAGAAATCACCTATTCGCACCCATTCCCCACCAGGTCATAAGTTTCAAGGTTCCAGGCTTTGTAACACCAGGACAGAAGCTCGCTAACAGGGGACTTTGATCTACTGTACTTCCCACGACTGGCGGAGAAAACTGTTTGTCTTACTTCTTCAATTCTTAGAAATAGTGTTTCCACATTCGAACACGTCTGAAATCGGGATGCACCTTATCATGGATGTCTGCCAGGCAGCAGTCACAAGGTCGTTTTTGGTACCAGCTCTTCGAATGGCTGGGACCTCAATGGAGTTAGTGCATTCTTAGACAAATGTTGAATTCAAACACCACAGAAAACGTCTACAAGAGCCATCTGAATTTCAATGCTATGATTTAGTATTAAAATGGAAATTATTTCATAAGCAGGAAGGCACAGAAACAGAAAAGCAGGATCTAAATTTCAGACATGTCATACAAACATTTCTCATTTGACTGTCAGCATGGAAACGGAAAACTTTTCACAGGCGCGTCAAAGGAAATCCTGGTCAGTAATGAAATCCTTCCCTCCCTCCCGCCCCTCCCTCTGTCACTCTCTCTGGGAAGCCTGCAGCCACTGGGATGGTCAGGCATCCCTGCATAGGGGCCCAAATGCAAAGGAAAGAAACTTGGGCCTCCTGCAGTCGTGTGAATGAACCATCTGAGAAAGGGGTTTTCCAAGCCCAGGGTAACCTTCCGATGGCTGCGGCTCTGGCTGACAGCTCGACTGCCATCACATTAGAGGCCAAAACATGAGCCCAAACCATGCCGCTACGCCACTTCTGGCTTTCTAGCCTCAGAAAAAGAACCGTGTGAGATCATAACGATCATAAAAGGTTGTTGTTTCAAGCTGTTGGTTTTGGAGTCATCTGTTATATAGCAACAGATAATGGATACAAAAGAAACCACAGTTCGGAAGTTTTACATCTGCCAACGTTATAACACACAAAACTGGGTTGGCTGGCTTTCAGGAAGGAAGGAGAAAAGACCATTAAAGCTTATAAAGTTTAATTTCCCACACCTACTTTTATTTTCTTGCCTCCTCTATCCTGAATACGATCTCCTAACAGTATCTTTTTCCTCTCAGTGCACCAATGCAAAGGAACAAAACAATATTACAATTGAAGAGGAGTTAATCTACATAATAACAATCTTAATACTTCAAAGGTATCCAACTTTCTACGGAGAAAATAGTAGCTGAGGTAAACTAGCTATGTGAAATCCATGAAATCCATGAAAACAAACATCCAAAACGTTCGGAGTAAATATCTATTGCATACCTATTACATTTCTATAAAATGTAACCCTATAAAATCTTTACTAAATAGAATAGAGCCTCTCAAAAAAAAATTTAAAACTTTTGCCAAGGGAGAGCTTTCATATTCATTAATTCTTGATGTTGATGCCAAGTTAGCACAGGATGGATGAAGTAACAGTTTCTGTGAATTTTGTAATACAGGTTGGTAAGAAAGTACCTGGTGTCATCAGGAAATGGGACAGCACTCTTGCGCAAGCCTGCAAATTCGCAACAGTGTATGTTAATGCTCCCACACAAGACTTATCCACCAGGAGACATTTACATCACAACTTTAAGATACAAAGATTAGGTGTGATAAAAGGAAAAGAAACTGCAACAATTCAAGGGGACAAGTATAAATGTAGGTGCTCTGACTAAACTGGCTTTAAAATATGGATGTCTTAAGCCATTTTAAACCTAACATGTTCCAAATCCCTCTTGAACAAAATCTACCCCTCTGCTAGACCCTGCAGTCTCCCCCATGTGTCCAGTTACTCAGGACAAGGCCTTAGCGGTCATCCCTGCATCCCTCCTCCTTGTGTCCGCATCCTCCACAAATAATTTATCTGCAAGTCCTGTCAGCTAAGCTTTTCTGTGTTACCATCTTCAAAGCCACGGTCTTAACCCAAGCCGCCATCAGTTCTCGACTGAGCTATCGTTACAGTCCAACGTGTTTCCTTGCTTCCAACCAGCAGCCCAAATGTCTTTTTAAACGTAAATTAATCCATGTCACTCCTCTGATTCAAACCCTCTGCTGACCTCCCACTGTGCTCAGAATAAAATTCAAACTACTTCCCATGACCTACAGAGCGCAGCCCGAACAGCCGTCCTCTCCCGCCTCGCGCCCTTCCATCCTCCGCCTTGCTCACCACGCTCCAACCACTTTGGACTTCTTTTCCTCCGGAAGGCAAGCTGTGTCCTGCCTTTCCTCTTACTAGTCCTCTGCTGGGTTTTCCCTCTGGCCCCTCACTGTTTCATTGATTCTTTTTTCCTCGTCATCTAGGTCTCCAGCTTCTTCGGGACACGTCTCTAAATTAGCTACTGCTCCATCCTGGTTCTCTGTTACACTCGCCCTGCTGTGTGATCTTCACTGCACTCATCACCTGAACTTCCTGTTTCGTATCGTCTGTCTCACCTACTAAAACAGAAGCTCCACGAGAGCAACGAGCCAAAGACCTTGCTTGCTTGTCTTAGTCACCAGTTTCCTGACACCTGGTGACACAGGGCCTGGCACCTGGGGATACAGTGGGTGCTCATCACCTATCTGTTGGATGGGTGCATATAATAATAATAATTACTATAGTAGCCACGTACTGCTTTGCATGTGCCAGGCATTTTGATTTCTCACCTTCAAAATAACCATACGAGTTAGATAATTAATTAGATCTACATTACAATGAAGAAAATAAAGTTAAGTCATTTGCAGAAGGTCACCCAAATTACCTTGGGTAAATTATTTAACCTCTCTGAGGCTAATTTTTTTTTTTCATTGTAAAATGGCAGACACAGGATGCAAACATAGGTCTTCCTGGGCTTTAAAACCCGCTTACTTTTGTTATCCCATTGACTCCTTTTTCCCCTCCAACTTTACTGAGGTATAATTGACAAATAAAAATTATATATAGTTAGGGTGTACAACAGTGATGATTAATATAAGTACACACTGTGAAATGATGACCCCAATCAATTAGCCCATCCACCACCTAGTTTTTATTTTCCAGTGATTCTTAATGAACCTCCCATGCTAATCCCATCTTCTGCCACAGTGAGCCACTCTTACTGAAGGGAGTGTGTCGGGCAGAGTGCAATGTCTTGCACGGTGACCCCGCTTACACATTTACCAAGGTGAGTCTTCTCTGCTATTCTACAAAGAGAAAACAGATAAAACTGATGGACGTGCAAAGGCTTTCTCCCTGGAGTATCTTCTAAAGGAATGAATGACTTGAGTGGAAAGGGCCCACATGGCCAGGGTGCTCCAAAAGGCATCCCCCTTTGTGTGGGAGATAAGACGAAATTATTCTTAATGTACATTCAGACTCAAAGCTTATACATCTGTCCTGTATTAGCGATTTTAGTCTTCTAGCCTTCAACAAGCAAAAAAATACACGTATTTATTGCTTATTGTTTCAAAGACAGAACCGAAAGGAAAAATGTGATTTGGAAACCGCCCCGGGCAAGTTGTAAAGAAAAGAAGTCACAATACCTCCCATGTTTTAACCACACATATTTCCTTCCTCCCACATAGCGCCGTGCGACAGGGAACCTTGGTCAACCTTTAACCACCCTCATGCAGCACCCGCTAGTCAGAAGATGCCGAACAAAGGTAAGGAAAGAAGATGGAACAGTGCTATGGAGGCCTGCAAATGAAAGTTCTGTTTTAAAGGGTGAATGCACGGCTTCCTGGCAAACAGGCCTATTTCAGATACCATCTGCAAAGAAGTCGAAGAGCTTACTTGGTTTCCTGTAAGCTGGGAGGAACCTGACTAGGTATGATGGAACACGAGGAATGTGCTTTCAACATATACCTATGTAGGTCACAGATAACGTGATGGTAAACAACAAAACTAAAGACCCTGCTGGGATTACAACACAGGTCAATCAGGGTGATTGTCGACTTGACAAAAGGATTCCTTCTAGGGTCCCTTTAAGCTATTCCCTCTCACAATGCACGTCCACATTGACGGGACTTACAAACAGCCTTCCCAGGAACACATCTATCGCTCACATTACCGTGCACCTATTCTCAGAGGTCAAGAACCAAGAAACGTTTCCACCAGCTTCCATCTAAAACTCTTCCTCGAAGTTACTCTGAACATTTCTAAGCTATCATTGAAAAGTACCCGCAGTGTCCCAGAATAAATGCTATTTTCTTCCTCCAACAAACTCCCCTCATTATACAACCATGTCATGGATGTCCCTCTTCCAAGTCGTTACATTGGCACCTACTGTGGCTACACCTCGACTCGTCCGAGCCCTTATTCTTCTACGTTGCCCGGCGACCCTGAACACCCTGGACCTGAGAAACATTCGTTTGGACCCCACTGACCACTCCCATTCTATCTCTTTGCTTCTTCCTCATTTTTATTCCCATCCATACCACCTTTGCCTCTTTTCACTTCTTGATTATTTTCCTTTCAAAATTTTCCGTCGCTGGTGAAACAAGAAAAGTCCTTTATGAATAAGATCTTAGTATTTCAGTACTTTTTAATTTGGCAAGAAAAAAAAACTTGAAGTCCACGGGTCAGAGAGGCAACAGGTAATAATCTGTAACTAGGTTTCCCCAAGAGCCCAGGAATTTCTTAGCATTATGCAAATGGCACTGAGATCAGGTCAGGGTCAGCAGACGCGGGTTCTCACGTACCTCTGTCAATAACTGTGCCTCTGGCCAAATGATACTTTCTGGAAATCTCATTTTCCACATAAATGTCTGTTCACATTTAAAATTTAAATGCTCGTAATGTACTGTTCTGTTCCTTCCCAGAATTGTGAAGATAAAATGTGACGTCGTAAAGGTATTTTGGATACTAAAGAATAATACTCAACAATTTTACCTCTTGTAAAAGTAATGGAAAGTAAAACTGATATCAGAAACATAACAATGAGTGTGCTACAAGGGATGAAAGAGAAAAGGTGAAGTGATATGAAAGAAAAACGGGAAAAAGGGGCGGTGGCAAAGGGGAAAGACACCACTGAAGACAGCTTACATGATTCTGCCATTGTCATCTGATAGGTACAGAGAGTGAAGCACCTTTTATATGAAGAATGGAAGAAAATGTCCACATCACAAAACCGGAGTTGGAAAGAACCCTAGGATTCATCTAATGAACCCCACAAAGATGTTAATTCTTTCTAAATTATCCCCCATTGTCCGGCCTCTACTTAACCAATCCCAGGTCAGGGTATTGCTTCCTTGGCAAGCATTTCGTGACCTACATAACTCTAATGGATAGAGCCTATAAATACGCACGCAAAATGTTTTCACTTAAAACAAAAGCAACAAATAAAAACATCTACGTTCATGTGCATTTGCCCAGGAAACAGATGCCAATACTGGTTGCTTTGGGATCAGGCATTTTGATCCTTAAATGAAAAAAAAAAAAGGTGTAGAAGATCATTAAGAACTTTTGGTTCAAACAATTTCAGCACATTCATTTAACACCCTCACCCCCTTCCAATTCCCACTGAGATGACCAAAGGAAAAAAAAAATATGGAAACGATTAGTGCTGGAAACTGGGGATGGGTAACCATGCAAACATGAAAACTATAAGTAATTCCTTTGACATAAAGTACAGGCAAGACCAGACTGACGGCAAGCTGGCCCCCCATATGCTGTGGAAAAGCCCAGTTAGACAGAAAGCAGAGGCAGGTTAGCGTCCATTGCGTGGTGCTCCTTCAGAAAACACATCAGATGTCAGAGCCCACAGACAGCAAGAATCTGGCGGTGAGCTCCCTCAGAGCAAGAATCTGGGGGTGAGCTCCC